ACGCAGCTTCGCCTCGCCCGCACGCACGGCACGCACGAACACGAAACCGAAATCGATTTCCCAACAGGTGGGCTCTCCGTTCTACTTCGATCTCAACCCCAACCTCCGAGATATAGATAATATATATATATATATAGAGAGATAGATATAGATATAAACAGAAGTGTGCGCGAAAGCGAGCATGTGGAAACGCCCGCACAGGTTTATTCAAATACCTCTGCCATGACCGCCGGCACTTAGATTCTGACCAGCATAACTCTGGTCGGCGGAGGCTGGGGGCGATATCGAAGTGAAGAGGAGACCCCCGTTACGGAGAAGTCGGTTTCGGTTTCATGTTCGTGTCGTGCTCGTGTCGTGCGTGCGGGCGAGGTGAAGCTGCCTGCGTGGGCGGGCGAGAGGAATGAACCCTCCTTTGGCTAGGGCGACGCCGGGCCAAACGACCGCCCCCCCCCGGTTGTCCAGCGGAGGCCAGGGGTGTCCCGCCGTGGTGTCCCGATGGGGTCCTGTGTTGTCCCGTGGTGTCCCATGGTGTTCAGCGGTGCCCAGATGGTGTCTCGGTGGTGTCTTGGTGGTTTCCAGATGGTGTCTCGATGGCGTCCCGATGGTGTCCCGATGGTGTCTTGATGGTGTCCCGATGGTGTCTCGACGGTGTCCCAATGGTGTCCCGATGGTGTGCCGACGTTGTCCCGATGGTGTCTAGGTAGTGACCCGATGGTGTCCCGATTCGATGGTGTCTTGGTGGTTTTCAGATGGTGTCTCGATGGCGTCCCGATGGTGTCCCGATGGTGTCTTTATGGTGTCTTGGTGGTGTCCCGATGGTGTACCGATTGGTGTCCCGATTGCTGTCACAATGGTATCGGGGTGGTGTCCCGATGGTGCCCCGATGGTGTCTCGACGGTGTCCCCATGGTGTCCCAATGGTATCCTGATGGTGTCCCGATGGTATCTTGGTGGTGTCCCCGTGGTGTGCCGACAAATGTCCCGATTGCATTCTCAATGGTATCTGGATGGTGTCCCGATGGAGTCCCGATAATGTCACGAAGGTGTCCTAGTGGTGTCCCATGTCCTGATTGGTGTCCCGATGGTGTCGTAGTGTTTACCCGATGGTGTCCTGATGGTGGCTACCAGTTTTTTCGCCACCATCACCATCACGACCAGCATCACCAGCATCGTCACTATCACAATCATCGAGGTCGTCATCGGTGTGGTCCTTCCCCCACTATCTCCTTCTCACCCCAAAGGTGGTCGTATGGGTACATGATATGTTGCCCCTGGATCGCACTCTGGCATTGCTGATGGGAGAAGGGGCGTGCTTCTCCTTTTTCTGTCTCGAGTCGTCAACTCTACCTCTATCTTCATCAGACCAGCCCCGAACGCAACCACGGTTGACTGTGGATGGCCCTAATTCGGCAGAGCGATTGGACATCATGAGATGACTCAATGGCCTCTGCACCAAAATGCCCTGGATGGATCCAAGGCGGTCCTGGAGGGACTCAGCCAGCCCCAAACCGCTTCTCAAGACAATCAGGGAGCACCTCAAATGCTGCGAGAGTCCGCGAGGATTGGTATGGTTTGCAAAGGGTGGTTTGCAAAGTGTGTGGTTTGCAAAAGGTGTGGTATGGACCTCGTCGACTCCGAGAGGTATGGTTTGCAAAGGGTGTGGTTTGCAACCGTCACACTGAGGGGCACCCTGGGGGGCGGGCGAGGACCTCGATAGAGCTCTCCGCCGCGCCCCGAGGAGGCCCGACGAGGACAGTGTCGTGCCCCCCAGGCCTCGACGGTGCCGATCGCAAACCACACCCGGCGTAACCATACCCTTTGCAGTCGCCGACCATCGGTGACTACATCATGGTCTCTGGCACGCATGTAAAAGAGAGGCGCAGGGCACCAATACATACATCCAATGTAAGTCAGCATTATGTGTATCCAAGCTCACAGTGATCCACAGTGAATTCAGCATGACCTTGCGCCATCCCGCTGATGTTTCAGGGGCATTCCTGCGTCAACACATCTACTCTGCGGCGCCTGCTAGAACTTTAGACCTTTGAACAGATACAGCATGCCTAACATTCTCAACTTCTATTTCCCGCTGAGGCTGGGTCCCACATCCACCACTCGTCCCACAGCCCGCGTCACGGTTCTGCTCGACGGCCCCCTGCACATTTCACACCGATCATCGTTCTTGCCTTCCCTGTATATACTCGAACATGCCCTTCTCACGCTCTAAACGTACTGGACAATGGATAAATCTTGCCCGTGCCAGCAAAGAGAACCATACAAACTATGAAACTCAGATGTGCATCTTCGAACCATCACAGGTACCTTGCGGTGCCGTATTCAATGTGGGACCTGCTGCGAGGGCACTGTCATATTCGTGGCGTCGGCTGCTCAATCTTGGCGCGCCTGACTCTGCCTGCGCCACCCGTGCCACCGTGAAGTTGACACAGGAGTGGAAGATTGTGCTGTTCGCAACGCGGAAGAACCAGCCTGCCCGCCGCATGACTTGCCCTGGGAGCGCCCAAACAAGCCGAGCTGCACGCCCAGTGTGAGTGTTAGCAGCTGCCAACGTATAACGCACATGCTACAAGACGCATAAGAAAGGCTAACTGCTCCCCGGATTACAACGGGATGGGTATACATCCTCCTGGCCAACTTCTTAAACGGAACGGAGCAATGAAGCGCGTCGTGCTTAAATCGACTTTCGTGTCTCGAGGCACGACGTGGAGTGTCATCAAGTCCTCGGTCGGCGCCCACAACTCGGAACTCTGGGCGCTCGTGGGCTCTCCTGTTTCCAGCCGCCTGACCCTTCCAAGAATTCAAGAGACCTCCAGAAGGTCCAAGAATCCAAGAGGGACCCGAAAGGCCAAACGATTGCTCTATTACGCCCGAGGTGGCCTCCAGACGGGATGGCCGAAGAGGCCCCCGAGACGGCCCAAGAGGCCCCCCCCAGAGGGCTCCGATATGCCAGAATCGCTGATTCCCCGCAGGTTGTTTGACAGATGTTAGTGTTCTCGCTGCTGGGGCTTCAGACGCTCCAAGACAGCCCAAGAGGCCCTACATATCGCCCCACGACGACCCAGGAGGCCCTCTCACGGCTTTGACATCAGAGTCCAAAAATTGTACCGAACATGTGCAGCAGCCACAGACAGCCTCGGGCACAAACAAGAGCGCCACACAAAACGACCTGCATCAGAGACGTCCATGCTGTGAACCAGCCTTTGAAGAGCCATCGCTGCGGGCTACATGCAAATCCCCTCGAGGCTGGAACAACCGAAGATAACACACATCGAGCACAGAGCGGAACAAGGAGAATGGAAGTGAGAATCATAGCAGACCCACCAGGACGCAGCATCGCGAGAACAACTGATAAACAGCATTACATTGACTGCGTCGAAGGCGCGGCGATAACGATACAAAGTTAAATACACATACGACCACCCTTCGGGTGATATGGAGGTTCGGACAGGGGGGGGGCAACGTTTCATTCAATCGATATCACATCGATCAAACCCTGGATCTGACGACATATCGCACGATCGATCTGACAATCGGTCTCGGTACCGATCTCACAACAAGTCTCACCATCGAGGTAACACTCGATCACACTCACTACTCACAAGCGATCCAACGATCGATCTCACAACAGATCTCATGATCGATCTCCCAATCAATCTCAACACCGATCTGGCAGTCGATATCACAATCAATGTCACATTCGGCATCACAGTCAACCTCGCCACCGACCTGACTGTGAAACTCCATATCCAATATCGGTCCCACATTCGGACCCACTATTGCTTCCGCACCAGATTTCACCATCGGTCTCACTATCGCTCTCACAATCGATCTCACATTCGATGTCACAATCGATAACAATATCGATATTTCCTTGCCGATCCGACTATAGATCTGACAAGCGCTCCAACAAGCGATCTCACAACCGATCCCACGATCAATATCACAAACAATATCACAATCGATCTCAGACCATATCGTACTATCGACCTCACAATCGATCCCACTATCGACATCACTACCGAGTTCATATCAAATACCACTATCGATCTCACAATCGATCTCACGACCGATTGGACAATCGAAACCACTGTCGATCTCACAAGGGATCCCACGATCGATCTCACAACAAATCTCAATATCGATCTCCCAATCGGTCTCACCACTGATCTGACAATCGATATCCATATCGATCTCACATTCGGCAGCAGTTATCACGATTGGTCTCACGATCGGTATCGCAACCGATGTCAGCATCGATCTCACTATCGGTCTCACAATCGAACTCACAATCGATCTCACGATCTGTCGCCGTATCGATCTCACTGTCGCCCCCACTATAGATCTCACGAGATATCTCACCATCCATCTCACAACAGATCTCAAGATCGATCTCACTACTGATCTCACAACCGATACCACAACACATCTCACTCTCGATCCCATTGTCGATCTCACAACAGATCTCACTCTCGATATCACAATCAATCTCACTATCGCTTTGACAATGGAAATCAATATCGATCTCACAAGCGAACTCACGACCGATCCCACAACAGATCCCACTATCGATCTCCCAATCGATTTCACCACCGGTCTGACAATCGAAACCCATATCGATCTCACATTCGGACTCACGATCGTCCTCGCACCAGATCTCACTAGCGGTTTCACTTTCGATCTCACAATCGACATCAGCATCGATCTCATTACCGGTCTCAGAGTCGAACTCACAACAGATCTCACTGTCGATCTCCCTTTTTGCCTCACTACCGATGCCACTGTACATCTCTCGAGCGATCTCACTACCGAACTTTCTGTTGCGCCATCGACGGGGCAACCCCGCCACCGACGGGGCACCCTCGCACCACCGACGGGGCACCCCCGCACCACCGTCGGGGCATCCCCGCACCACCGACGGGGCACCCCCGCACCACCGACGGGGCTCCCCGGGCACCCTGGGCCACCGCGCGCCCGGGGGCGGGGCGGTCGAACGGCTCCACAACCCCTGGCCACGGCGACGTCATTCCTGTCGCGCGCCCACGCAACTTCCGCCTCGCCGGCACGCGTGACACGAACACGAAACCGAAACCGATGTTCCCTGGGGGGCTTTCCGTTCCACCGCGATCTCACACCGTCACCTCCGTAAGTGATACGGGACCAGTAGGATGAGGAGGAGTAGGAGGAGGAGCACCTAAAAAATACCAAGGGGAAAACTACATCGCATAAGCAACCCTATGACCGGCCGACGGGCGCCATGATCTGTAAGAGATGCGTCAACAAACATCATAGGAGACAACAGAGGACGCCACAGGCACGTGGAGGAAGGTGGATGGCACGGGATGGCCAAGAAGTCTGTCCACTAGGAATAGCATGCTCCGCTCAGGAGGTCAACAGACTCGACGGACGTGTTGTTTGCGCATGCGGCCACTGCTTCGAACTTTGCTGCTGCCACAAGCATTTGCATCCAGGTGGCCTGCCTAATCCGAACAATGACGAACAAACGAACCGCCGAAGTACATAATGAGACATACGACACGAAGGTGCGTGCTTCTGTGAAGCTGCGCTTGGGTCTCAAATAGTTGTGCATTACCCAGACGCCCTCGTCAACTTGCAACCATACCCTCGCTCCTGCAATGCGGATGGCATGAGACTTACATAGCATCAATACAGACACGATGCTGTCTTTACACACTCGCGGGTATATTCATTTTTATGTATACGTGCGCCAAAACATCGGTCTATGATGCAATGATCGACCAGAACACCAAGGCGGCCTGTCCGGTTAAAGCGGTCATGCTCGAGGCTATGCTCCTGCTGCAGGGGCGATAGTTGCAATGTGCTTAACATGCACGAGCACTGTTCGCACAATGGGACAGCTGAGACCATGAGGTAGACAGTGCGTGGTCCCCCGTGGCCCCACTAACCAAACACCTGATATGTTAAGGAAGCCCCCGGCACGCGATTTCCTGGATTCTTGGTCGCTTCTGAGATTCTGGGCGATCTTGGGGCTTCCAGCGTGCGTTCTCCAAAGGCCTCGGGAGCGCGTTTCGGAGTCCAAATCTCGAGCATGTCCTGATATGTTCCTGGATGGCCGTCATGGGGTTCTCCTGGAGGCCCCTCGAGACATCGTGGAAGCACCTTGCAGGCTCCGGGGGCCTGGAACCGAAACGCCCGTTTTTTCACGTGCTTGCCTGCTGGTCTCTCTTGCCATGGAAGCATGCACAAGGCGCTGCAGCAGGCCCGACAGGTCGCCCGGAGACTGCCCCCAAGCCCCCCGGCAAGCTCCCAGGATGGCCTCACAAGGAGCCCTGGGAGGCTCCCCAGAAGCATGGCCCCCGAGGCCGCCAGAAGGCTCTCCGAGAGGCGTGCAAAGAGGCGCGCAGAGAGGCCCCCAGGAGGCCTGACCCCCACCTGCAGACATTGCCCCCCTGGGGATAATACAACTCCGGGTCCTGGAAGGGTACTAAACGTTTCCCCGGAGATCGCAGCATGATGGCCAAGATGCTGACGATGATGATCATCAAACTGATGATCAAGATGATAATCAACTCTCAGGTGGGAAGGGGGGCCCCATGATTACTTCCGTAGCTCCTACAAGACAAACTCATTGGAACGCCCTTTCTGGCTACATCCATTTCTGTCGCCTGTCCCGCCTAGAGGCGTCGGCCCACGAACAGAACCAGGCACCCTAAAACCTGCTGCGGCGGCCGTTTTGATTCAACCATTGTAGCTGCGGCTTCTGGCTGGCAGGTGAAATCTTTAAGCATCTATCGCCTATCGCTGTGGCATATCCAAGAGGAAGGTCATCCCCTTTATGGCGACGAGGATACACGTCGTTCATTTCTAATCGTGCTCATTTCTAATGGTCCTCGTTTCTAATTGTTCCTGGCCACCTGGTGGCCAGGAAGAGGCCCAGGACAGAAGAACTAGAAATGAGAGGAACTTGGCCCCCAGAAAATCAACGAACTCTCGAAGAATTAGAAATGAACAATGTGTATGAAATGTTGGCTCGTGATGCTTCTGCTCTCTACGTGCGTGTCTAACGGTTATGTCAGAAGCAGAATGGGGGGAGACGGACAACGAGGAGAGGAACGACGAGGGATGGGGGAAGGCAGGAGGGAAGGGAGGGGAATGTGGAAGTGGAGCGCCAGGGGTGAGAGCGATGAGAACCACTTGCAAGAGAGGGGCCAGGATGGCGACTACCAAGAGGAACAGAAAGAGGTAGGAGCAAAGATAGGAGGATAACAAAGCAGAAGAAACCGACAATCAAAATGACAGACGCGATGTGAGCGGTGTGAAATGCAAACCGGAAAGACCTTGGCAAGTCATGGGGGCCTCTCATGTCATCTTGTTTGGCTCGTGTTAACTGACGATGTCCGATGCTAAGTGACGCTACTCGACGCTAAAACGAAGCTAAACGACGCAAAATCAGCGCTCCGGTATGGATGTCCAATGCACTTCAGAGTCAAGCCTCCCGCAAATTCAAAAAAACGGCGGGATACGGTCCGGAACGTCGGCTCAGCGTGTCGCGGTATACGGTCCGGAAACCTTTTGCTCTTAGCGTGCCTCGCACCGACTGCCACTGCACTCTAGAGGCAAGGCTCCCGCGAACTCGAGAAAACAGCGGGCTCTTGACTACCTACCAGACCACCCCAACCCAACCCGAAGACCCGAATTTGAATCGAATTTCGGGTTGGGGGGGGTACAGGTTCCATGTGTTTTTTCAATGTTCCCCGACCCCCCCCAACTGGAAATCGAGGATCAAGTTGGGTCTTCGGGTTGGGTTGGGGTGGTTTGGTGGGTGGTCAGCTCTTGTCCGGAGAAGCGGCGGCATGCGTTGCCCTGCGAGTGGATGGCGCGTCGCTGCGCCCCGCGTGCCAGAGGGATGGGCAAAGCCCGGGACGTCGACGCCCGGGGGTCCAGGAGGGGGAGGAGGAGGAGGAGGAGGAGGAGGAGGAGGAGGAGGAGGAGGAGGAGGAGGAGGAGGAGGAGGAGGAGGAGGAGGAGGAGGAGGAGGAGGAGAGGAGGAGGAGGAGGAGGAGGAGGGGGAGGATTGTAGTGTAGCGCTGATGCCCTTGGGGGTAGGCATGACCCTGTCAGTCGGATGGGACACATGGGCTCTCCCATCCTGGAGCGGTGCTCGTGAGGGTTGGGGTGGCAACCCTTGTGGTCCCAGAGCCTGTGCGGGGACCGTTGAAGGCACCGTGCAATGGTGGACGGTACGTGTGGTCGACACGCCCGAGACAGCCACCTCTGTTCGACGCATGCGGTTAGGCGGTGGGGGCTTCGCGACAAGTGACGTCGCCGCCTATCATGCAAGTGATGAGGCGCGAAGCGTGTCACATCGCCTAGTCGGAGGATGAGCTGGCATCCCCCAGAATTGCGTCAGACGCTGACTCTCTAGCCTTGTAGGGAGTTCCTGTGGAAGCTCACCGGGTGCTACAAGGTCAGGGAGGCTTGCTACCCCTAGCCAGTGCACTGGTGAGCTGTCCAGCTAAGCATTGTAATGAGGATGCCTGGAGGTGTGGGGGGGGGGCACGATTTGTCCGCCCCACCGGGCGCAACAAACTAGAATCAGAGCGCGCGGCAGCGGGCGAGATACAGAAACCGAGTCGCTTTTTGCTGCCACGAGGTCGAAGCAACCGCAGGACACCAGTGAGCTGCCCAGCTAATGGGTGTTCTGCAGGTGCCCCAGAGGGGGCACGAATTGACCGCCCCGCGGGGCGCAGCCACCGTGCACTGGTGAGCTGTCCAGCTAACCGGTGTCCTACGCGTGCCCTGGGGAAGCACGATTTGCTCGCCCCACGGGGCGCTGCCGCAGTGCACCGGTGAGCTGATCAGCTATCTGGTGTTCTGAAGGTGCCTGAGTGGGGGGCACGATTTGTCCGCCCCACCGGCCGCAACAATCTAGGGCCATAGCGTGCGGCAGCGGGTGATTGCGGATATGCCGGCACGACCCAACCTTGTGATCGCGGTTGGGCCGTCACGCCCAGTCGAAGCAGAGTGAGGTATGAGATGGGTGCCTCGGCGGATTCAACGTTCTTCCGCCTCTAGGAGCAAGAGTAGGTTAGCTCCCGCTCCAGGGGGGGAAATTCGTTACGTTTCCCACCCCCCTCGAACGTGGAATGCCCGAAGCGCACGCGTGCTCAAACGGACACTCCTCTGGGCTGCTGTGTCAGGGCGGCCTACTTTAGTGGGAGCGGTGGTGGAAAGGGGGGGCTGGACCCAACTAGGGCCCAGCGGCGGGCCCGGAACGGGTCCAGCCATCCATCGTGGCCATGCAGATGGACCGGTACATCGAAATATCGACGGACCCTGAAGATATGAAATACAGTACCGCAGGAGAGTACGGCCTGACGAGGCCTAGGAGGACCCGCCGGGGGTTTTGGCCTGACGTGGCCTCGAAAATAGCCGCCGGGGATTTTGGCCTGACGTGCCCTGGCACAGGAACCATGGATGGCATGGTATACCCAAGCCCAGCACCGCCGTGCCTAGGGGCTCAAAGCATGCGGACTGCGACGAGGAGGAGGAGGAGGTGTACGGATCCTCCTCGTCAAGTGCCGTTTTGGTTCGCTAGTCATTCGAAGTACATGCGTTGACTCGCATGTGCTGCACGTTGTGTGCGTCTGCTTGTACGGCGGGCGCGCGCGCCAGTGCTGTTGTGCCTCCGACGGAGGCGTGATCAATGTGTTTTGTTGTTGGCGGCCGTGTTTCTGAATGTCGAATTGGACGGCGTATTTGCTTGATTCACACGTGTTGGGGGCTTACAGTGGAATGTGGAATTGCCCCTGTGGCAAACTGCTTTTCTGAACACTCCCCACAGGGTGGAGCTTGCTCATGTGGACCATAGTCTGTGGATGCACGAAAGCTGGCCCGGACGCTGGCCAGCGTCTACCAGGAGGCTAACAATGGCAGCTGGACATAATTATTTTATGTAGGACTGCCGGCCTTGCCGCCGGGCTATGTCCTTGAGGCGAGTGCCTCACGACGTGCGTGCATAATCTGCGAATGCACGAAAGCTGGCCCGGACGCTGGCCAGCGTCTAACAGGAGACAAACCATGGTAGTCGGACAGAAGGAGATTGTGCAGGACTGCCGGCCTTGCCGCCAGACTGTGTCCTTGAGGCAACTGCCTTGCGCCATGCTTGCATAATCTGTGGATGCACGCAAGCTGAAACTGAAGCTAGTCAGCCTCTGATGCGAGATAACCATGGTAGCAGAATGCGATTGTGCAGGACTGCCGGCCTTGTCGCTGGGCTGTGTCCTCGAGGCGAATGCCTCGCGACGTGCGTTCAAAATCTGTGGACGCACGAGGGCTGGCCCTGACGCTGGCCATCGACGGATAGAAGACAACCCATGGTAGCCGCAAAGAGTGAGACTGTGCAACGCTGCCGGCCTTGCCGCTAACCAGGATGAGATTATGCAGGACTGCCGGCCTTGCCGCCGGGCTGTGTCCTTGAGGCAAATGCTTCGCGACATGCTTGCAGAATCTGTGGATGCACGAAAGCTGGAACTGAAGCTGGCCAGCCTCTGATAGGTGGTAGCCAGGTGCGATTGTGCAGGAGTGCCGGCCTGGCCGCCAGGCTGGGCCCTTGAGGCGAATGCCTCGCGACGTGCGTTCATAAACTGTGGGCGTACGAAAGCTGGCCCTGACGCTGGCCATCGACGAATAGAAGACAACCCGTGGTAGCCGCAATAAGTGAGACTGCGCAGGACAGCCGGCCTTGCCGCCGGGTTGTGTCCTTGAAGCCTCTTGGGCGCCCGAGTTATCCGGGGTAACTCGGGTCCGGGGTAACTCGGGTTTGGATTCCCGAAAAAGGAACCCGAGTTAGCCCTGACCCGAGTTACCCCTGATGATTCGGGGCTCTGGACGCCCGAGCTATCCGGGGTAACTCGGGCCCCGGGTAACTCGGGTTTGGAATCCCGAAAAACGAACCCGAGTTATCCCTGACCCGAGTTACCCCTGATGACTCGGGGCTCTGAGCCTCTGCCGCGCGACATACTTGCAACAACTGCGAATGCGCGAAAACTGGCAATGAACGTTGGTAGGAGACAAACCATGCAAGCCGGACAACATGGGATTATGCAGGACTGCCGGCTTGCCGCCGGGCTGTGTCCTTGAGGCGAATGCCTCGCGACATGCTTGCGTAAACAGTGGAAGCACGTAGGCTGAAACTGAAACTGGCCGGCGCCAGATAGGAAATAACCATGGCAACAAAGTGCAATTGAGCAGGACTGCCGGCCTTGCCGTCGGGCTGTGTCCTTGAGGCGAATGCCTCGCGACGTGCGTTCATCAACTGTGGGCGCACGGAAGCTGGCCCTGACTCTGGCCAGCGCCGAATGGGAGACAAACCGTGATGGCCACAAAGAGTGAGCCTGCGCAGGACTGCCGGCCTTGCCGCCGGTCTGTGTCCTTGAGGCGAATGCCTCGCGACATAGTTGCATTATCTGCGAATGCAAAAAAACTGATAATGAAATGAATTATCCCAGTGCGACCCTACCTAGGAGTTGGAACCCATAGGAAAGCAGCATTAGTAGTAACAGTAACGCTAAGCTAACGACGTGCGTGCATAATCTGTGGATGCGCGAAGCCTGGCTCTGCCGCTGGCCTTCGCCTGCGTACGGGGAACCATGCGTAGCATATGCCCGCGTGCGCCTTCTGACTTAGATTGTGCAAAACCGCCGGCTTGCCGCCGGGCTGTGTCCTTGAGGCGAATGCCTCGCGACGTGCGTGCATAATCAGTGGATGCGCGAAACCTGGCACTGCCGCTGGCCTTCGCCTGCGCACGGGAAGCCATGCGTAGCATGTGTCCGCGTGTGCCTTCTGACAACAATGAGGGACCGTAAGTACCTCTTATGCCGGTGTCGCCCCGGCTTCCTAACCCCAGGGGACATTGTGCAGGTGCTCGTCGGGCGTGCGCCTTGCGCACGCCCTTACCGGCGCCCCATGCGTCCTGCACAACGACCGCCCCCCGGGGCTGCGGAAGCCATCGGCATGGGGGGAGGAGGGGGAGGAGCGAACGAACCCTATGGAGGAGGGGGAGGAGGAGGAGGAGGAGGAGGAGGAGGAGGAGGAGGAGGAGGAGGAGGGAGGAGGAGGAGGAGGAGGAGGAGGAGGGGGAGCTCGGGACGTCGACGCCCTGGGGTCCAGCATGCGGGCAGCGCGTCGCGCCGCGGCGCGGTGGGCCAGCACGGGCGGCGCGGCACGCCGAGCCAGAGTTCTGGACCGCAGGCGGCACGCTCGCGCTCCTCCGCAGGGGCCGCCTCATCATCCGCCTTGTCCTCGCTCGTTCCCTCCTTCGTTCTCGCGGTCGACTCTGGATGGGCTGGTGGAGATCCGGCCGCCGTGCTACACAACAAGGCACGCTGAATCGGGAACGAAAGGGCTTTCTTGGGCACAGGAAGCGACGGTCACGAACATGCCCCACGACATAGGACCAAGGAACGGCCCAAAAACCAAAGCCACTCCTGAGCCCAGAGTGGT